TTGTCGGAAGCTCTGTGCTGTTATTTGACTTGAAATCAGCTCACTTGGATGGTGATTCAGATTTACACTTTAAGGTCAGAGGCCATCCAGATTCACCATCATCATCATCATCATCATCATCATTCCAACATAAAATCACGTTCCAATCCTGATTCAGCAGCAACCTGACGCAAATTTGAATTTTTCTTCAACTCACTGGACCAAATGATTCTAAAACACCTGATTCATGTTTTATAACAATGTAACCTGCTTTTTTGGAGATTTTTTAATCGCTGATTAATAAAAATAAAAAAAAACAGATGTCCCTGAACACAGCATCAGCTCATCACAAAACAGATGATAGGCGGAATAAAAATGCACATTTTACACTCGTAAGAGGAGTTAAGGCAGAGGATCTGAGGAACCATGACAGTCACCATCGCCAATCGACTTGGTCCAGCTGGGTACCAGGGTGTCGCCGGCTTTTCAGTACTTGCTTCGATGTGGTTTCAAGTGTACCGAGTCGGAGAGACAATGCAAATTCAGCAACTGTCACTGATTGGCTAGTCCACAACTGAGCAGAATGTCACTACCATGTCCACTATTATTGCGTTTTTGCGTGACATACAGATCACCTCGCACTACTGTTGTGCCGGGTACAGATCACACACACCCCCACCCCCATGATGACCGCACCCATGAGAGCAGATTCTCAGTTGTAATGGAACGCCACCCGACTCGTGCAGATTGAATCACGTTGAGATATCCTGAGTAGGTACTAATGGAGTTGAGACAAATGGTGCAACAGGTTGCACACTTGGACTTGCCAGATGCAAACCTGTCAGAGTCAGGACCTGTGAAGGTTCCTCCAACACATTGGCATGGTGCAGCAGCAGACCGGTCACCACACAGGTCGGGTCACCTGATTGACATGACCACTGGTTCAGAAAATGAGACTGGTTAACTAGATTCGGGCTGCAAACCGGCTCTGATCCACTAGAACTTATTTACAACCGGCCCCTAATGGAGGCTCATCAGTGTGATGATGCTCCTTCATGTTCTACTGATCCATTCTAACTTCATACAGAACCTGGAAGCAGACTGGTTCATGGCCACTAGAATTTCTGCACTGATGTGTGGAGATCCATCTGAGAGCTGCAGCATTATCTGGAACCAGCACTCCTTTTTGGTGAACCATCTACGGAGGAGACAAGGCCTCGTCAAAAGGCTCCGCTGGTTCTATAGACCACATTTCACCCGTGCTAAATGAAACGTAAATTCTCGAGTCTCAGAGGGAGAACGACTTGAACCTTCATGTTGGACCTCTGAGTGACTAACATCTCATCCTTTGATGAGAATCTTTTGGTTCTTCTGTAAATGTTTAAATGTCAGTCTGAAGGTCCCTGAGATGATCCAGGTCCAGGTCCTACTCTCTGGAAATGTGAGGTCTAGAGCTCAGGAAGAGCTGCTGCACTGATCATTTTAGCTTTGTTCTCTGGTTTGTGTGATTAATCAGGACTGTCTGCTTGTTGAGCTGACAGTAAAGACTGATCATGGACGACGGTTCAGTCGGAGCCTCAGTCTGATGTTTCTAAAACGCTGAAGCCAAGTCGTCCCAACTGTTCAAGATTCAGCTTTTCTGTAAACCACTGCTGCTCTTTTCCATGAGGTCCCAGACTCTTGGTATTTTGGGACTTTTTCCTCGGATGCAGAATATTTTTATGCTACGTTCTGTTGTATTATTTGCTGGATGGCACAGTAGGGCATCCCAAAATAACTCTATAGCAGGGGTGGGTAACTCTGGTCCTCGAAGCCCAAAATACAGCATGTTTTTATTTTTCCTGCTACAACACACCTGATTTTAATCAGCAGCTGGTTAGCACGCTTCCGCAGAACTCGGTGAGCTGTTGAGCAGGTGAATCAAATGTTCCGGAACAGGGAAACAACTAAAACATGCAGAATAGCAGCCCTCGAGGACCGGTGTTGCCCCCCCCCCCCCCTTCCCCACCTACAGGGCCGGTCATCATAAGACAGACGACTGTTCTGTCTTATGAAGAGACTTTACCGATGAGAAAATGATAAATGACCCACACTTGTATAGCACCTCTCAGAGTAAGGACTCCAAAAAGCTTTACACTACTGTGTATCATTCATCCATTCACACACACACATTCACACACTGATGTTGATGAGTTACAATGTAGCCACAGCTGCCCTGGGGCACACTGACAGAGGCGAGGCTGCCGAGCACAGGCGCCACCAATCCCTCCGACCACCACCAGCAGGCAAGGTGGTTTGAGTGTCTTGCCCAAGGACACAACAGCAGAATTCTCTGTCCGGAGCCGGGATTGAACTTGCAACCTTCCGATTACTGGGCAACCCGCTCAACCTGTTGAGCTACTGCTGCAACCCTGCTATTGGAGGACAAACACCTCAGGTACCAGAACAATACCCCAGATCTCTCCAGGTGTCCCAGTAGAGATCTGGAAGAGTGAGTTTGGTGTGGAGGACATTGACTGGCCTGAAGTTCTGACCATAACTAACGTTGTTCTAGGAGACCCTGTGAATTAAGGGTGTGAAGTCATTAATGGCTGCGTGTGTGTAAAGGCAAACCTCCCAGCACTAGTCCACTAGATCTACTTAGTTCCATCAGCATGACCTCAGGTGGGTGATTTGAAGAGAATATTGATTAGATAACTGGACTAAAATGTGGAGTCTGTGATAATGAGGGTGAACTCTGGGCTGAGTCGATTAATATCTCATTTAAGGGATTATATCTAGTTGGTTCTGTGTTTTAACTGGACCTGCCCAGACCGTCATTTATAAAATAACATTTATCAACTCCTGCTGTCAGTCAATGTCCTCCACACCAAACTCACCCTGATAGATCTTTACTGGGACACCTGGACACATTGATTAGAGGGATTGTACCAATACCTTTCATAATGAGAAAACAATCCTTGGTTCTGATCGTGTTGAGAAGAGAAGGTGGTGGCCAGTGAAAGGACAAAGTTTGAGCCGTTATAAGATGACATTCATGCCCAGAAACATCAACCAGAGGACTAGAAAGCATCAACCAGGGAACATGGACTAGGGGACATCAACCAGCGGACTAGAAGACATCGACCAGCAGACACGGACTAGAGAACATCGACCAGTGAACTAGAGGACATTGACCAGTGGACTAGAGGACATTGACCAGTGGACTAGAGGACATTGACCAGTGGACTAAAGCACATCGACCAACGAATGAGAGGAAATCAACCAGTGGACTAGAGGTCATTGACCAATGGAATAGAGGACATCGTCCAGTGGACTAGAGGTCATCGACCAATGGACTAGAGGACATCGTCCAGTGGACTGGGGGTCATTAACCAACAGACGAGAGGACATCGACCAGTGGACTAGAGGACATCGTCCAGTGGACTGGGGTCATTAACCAATGGACAAGAGGACATCGACCAGTGGACTAGAGGTCATTGACCAACAGACGAGAGGACATCGACCAGTGGACTAGAGGCCATCGACCAATGGACTAGAGGACATCGTCCAGCAGACACGGAGTAGAGGACATTGATCAATGGACACTGACTAGAGGACAATGACCAGAAGATGTAGCCAGAGATTAAATTAAAGTCAAACTGATTGGACATAGTGTAAGGAGCTAGTGGTGGGACATGTCAACTGTGATGAGGACCATCAGCATTAAAACTAGATCTAGGTTGTTCATTCGCTCTCTTTAAAGAGAGGATCTGCTAAACCAGACCTTTACACCCAAAGGACAGTCTGAGCATGTGTCTCTGGGAGAAGATGGACACTAAATACACTGTAGCGTCAAGTGCTTTGGAGTCCTCTGACTCTGAAAGGTGCCATACAAGTGCGGGTCATTTATCAGAAGGAAACATGTCTGGAGGCGACACAGCTGAGAAAAAGGAAAGTGACAGAAAGTGATCCCATCCTTCTGTGAACTTCATCCAAACTCAAAGTTTAACTAGACATTCAAACTGAAACGTCTAACGTTTTCTGAGTACAGATCCTGCAGATGTAGACCACAAGTGATCTGGGAGATGTTTAAACCACATCATATTCTGATGGAGAGAAGGGAAACTAGAAGGGAATAAAAAATAAACGGGACCTACTTTCCTTCCTATGGCATAATAACAGAGTCCAGCAGCACCAGGGTGATGGAAACCATATGAGTCCATTTGCATGACTCTGGTTCTGCTCAGTACTACACTCTAAATGAGCCCCACCATGCAGCAGAACAACAACAGCACACATTAAAAATGGATTCCTCTTTAATAGAAATCCGTTAATCCACCGGTAGGGCCCGGTCCCGATGCGATCAGCCGCCGAGCCTCCGGTTCCCGGCCCTGTTCCTGCTGTCAGGCAGCCATTTAGGCGCATATGGAGCCAGTAGTCTAATGGCTGATGCTTTTCGGATTTTTCTTCCTAATTGCTGAGGGCCATCAGCACCCCTCGGCCTCCTCCCGCCGCCGTTAAACCCGCCGCTCCTCGCGGTTCCCCCACTGTAATAACCCTGTTTTAACGGCATTCTGCCGGTGGTTTTATGTTACCGATCAGCGGGCTGTTCGGAGGAACCAATCTCTTTCTCCGGTCTGGGTTAACCCCCTGAGACTCCGGATCAAACAATGAAAAGGATCGAAGACATTCCGAAGGTTTCATCACTGTTTAATCACATCTCCGTTCTTAGTTCGATCGTTGTAAAACACCGACGGACGGTGCTGAAGCCCGGGACACTGATACGTATTTGTGTCGCGACTCCGAACCTTTAATGAACGATTCGAGGCGGCTATTCTGGTCGACAACATGTCAGCCTGCATCAATAAACAGCGGAGCGGCGGCGCTCTATTGTCTGATCGCAGATCAGCGGATCCACCGGCAGGAGAGCAACTCCGCTGCTGCTAATTAGCAGACCTGCTGCGACACGATGCCCGCAGCCGTCGCCTCCAACCCCCATTGGACCAGGACCCAGGCCCTGCGCTGATCCTCGGACTCACCTGGGCCTCCTTTCGCCTCAGTATGCACCGTCTCCGGGTTCACGGTCCGGTCCTCCTGAAGCAATGCAGCGAATTCTAACCACCAGTCCCCGGCACCGGCAGGCAACACTGAACCGTTGATTGGGCCTTGACAGTCTCTCATCCCCTCGCGGCAGCCAGACGGAGCGCTGATTGGTCAGACGGTTCCTCCGTGGAATGCAGGCAGGCAGGCGATTGGCTATTGGGTTCAACAGCGGCCCAAGACAAACAACTGATTGGTCGATAATTTCCACGGCGGAGATGGGGATAGACGTGATTGGCCAGTAAAACTGTTGTTGTCTGTGTCTGGATGCAGAGCCGCTAGCCTCCATTGGGGCTGAAGGAACAATGTGTTAATGAAGTCGGAGGCTGACTGGGCTCTGCATCGGGTCTGAACCGAACCACTGGTACCGATTCTCTCCCAGAAACCTGGATTCTTGTGTCTTTGCTGGATTGCTGCACAACAAAGGACGGAGACAGGGCGAACCATGGCAGAAGAGCGGACGGGTTTGGGAACGTCACATCTGATCTGAGACAATATGTTCTGAAACACAAAAAGGAACCTGAAACCAACAGACAAAAAAAAAAAAACGGGTCCAAATCCTCCAAACACACGCACATCACCCCACTTCTCCTCCAGCTTCACTGGCTGCCTGTTAACTAGAGTTCATGTGAAGATTCTGGTTCTGGTCTTCAGGGTCTTATGGATACGCACCATCAAACATCGGTGATCTTCTTAGTCCCTACACCCCCAGCAGGTCCCTGAAGTCCAGTGACCAAAGCCTACTGGTTGTGCAGCACCAGGCTAAAGACCAAAGGTGACAGATCATCTGCTGCTGTGGCCCCCAGACTGTGGACCTCTCTCCTCCCGAGCCTGAGATCAGTGGACTCAGTGGTCTCCTTTAATAAGCAGCTGAAAACTCACCTGTTCAGGCTTTGGTGTGACCTCCTGCTGATCCTCACTACCCTCTCTTCATGCTGCTGTTTTCACTAATTCTGTCTATCTCGAGATCCCACGGTTACATTTTCATCTTCATTTTTGTCTTCCTTTACATTTTAATATCTTTTCTTTTTTCTCACAGTTTTGTATTACACCTTTTTTTTATCATTCTTTTACTTTTGAAGTGCCTCGTGATCTTTATCAAGTAGTAATATTATGACTTTATAAAGTCATAATATTACTACATAAAACCATACTTTACCGAAGAACTTACCGTTGTTTCAGCTCCGGTTCTGAGAACATTGTGCTGGTAGATGATGGTCAATCTAGAACTTCAGAGGCGGGAATAAATCTGATGTGATGGCGTCATACGCACTAGTTAGTTCTATTTAAATTCAGCACTTTGGTTCAATAAGGAACATCACTTTGCCCTTAGTTGGGCAGTTTCAAGTTGTTTGCCACCACATTTTTGAGTTATGATCCTTAACTCAAAAAATGTACATTTAATTTTCGTAAAATATTACATTACATTGACTATTGTTAAATATACTTTTTTCAGTGTGGGCCAGAATTCAGGACAGGTCACAGTAAACAAAGTCGCGGTAATGACGCTGCAGGATTTCTGATAGAAGCCTCACTTTTACTCTCTTATACAATAATAACAAAGGGGGGGGGGGGTAAAGAGAAAGTATATGGTTATTTCCAAGAGGACAAAAATGTGTTAAACATCTAACCAGATGACATTATCCATCCTTGTGGGGAAGCAGGTGACCCAGAAGAAGCTCCACCAGGTCGGAATCCACTGTCAGTGATGTCTGAGAGGTCTAGGGGACAGACACAAAGACAGCAGGAGTGTGAAGAAAAACTCTGTCTCTAATAGTGCAAGGAGAAAACAGGAGCATCTTGGGAGGATCCTCAGCAGCAGAACTAAACTGAGCCTTGACTGGAAGTGAATGAGTCTAAAAGGAGCCTGGGAACTGAATGCTCTCCCATTTAGAACCAACCCTGCAGTTGGAGAACCTCTGCTGGGAACATGTGGAACAAGAAGCTCTCTAGAAAGAGGAGCTTGAATTTACTTTTTTTGTTCAGTTGTGGATCTTTCGAAGAGAACTCCAATCTCACCTCCTAACTCTTATCAGAACTCTGGCAGCAGCTTCTGGATCAGCAAGAAGGTTTTATCTTCAGCTTAGTGTCTGAAGTGCTGTTTTACAGCAGGCTGATGCTCATGTTTAGGTGGAAGAGTGATCATTTGAATGACTTTTGATCATAAATCCAGTCTGAAACGGTCCACCTCTGCCCAGTGGGTTTGTGGAACTGTCCTGGGGGTGGATCCAGTTTGTGATGGAGGTGTTTCTTCATTTATCACGTTAGAGATTAAAATAAGATGAAATGATCTAAAGATAAAGATCTGGGTGAAGCGCCTATAGTGATCATAAATGACAGTTAAGGATTTCCCCACCAGCAGGGGGAGCTAGTCGTCCAGAGTTCATCAGGCTTGAGACGGGGACCTGATGGATGACAGGACCCTTTCATCTAACAGAGACGGTAAACATGAATGAGTCATGGTGCAAGCACACACACACACACACACACACACACACACACACACACACACACACACACACACACACACACACACACACACACACACACACACACACACACACACACACACACACACACACACACACACACACACACACACACACACACACACACATTTATATGCCTCCATTTACTTCCAGATCTATAAAATTACACAATCTTCCATTTAAGATGAAACATTTATTAATGAAACTGGACAAACGTCTCGGCACAGGGCTGTATTTGGTTTGTTAGTTACTTGTTTTATGGATTTAGAGAACAGTTCCTTAGTTCTGTAGCTTTGGTGTTTCAGGTTCTGCTGGATTTTACAGTTTCCCCAATTTTGCTTCCAGCAGGGAATTTCCAATCACAGGTTATGTAGGGGAGACAGAGCCAGAGCTTGGATGGATGATGTTGTACACAAGCCAAATATCTGCATATTTAATAGTTTTACTGGGAGAGAAACTATTGGGCCATAATGAATGTAAAGATTTTATGAATTAGACACTTATCTGATATTTTCAGAGCTTATTAAAATGTTTTTCTTTGTATCTTAATGTAGTTTGACCTGATTGGTCCAGCTGATCAGACATAATATTCACAATTTATCTTAAATATTCCAAACTATTCCTGATGTGACACCAGAGGAAAAAAAGCAGTTAAAATCCAAATGTTTTGAGATCAGAGAGATTCTGTCAGAAGACCTTAGCAGAACTGTTTCGTCCCAACTTTATCCAACTGATTTGACTTGTATGTGTCCTAAAACACTCAGACCTGTCTGATCAGATAACTAGACCGTTGTTGTTTCTGTCACGTTGCGTGTTAGGAGGAGGTTAGGACCCAAGATGCAGATACCCCAGATGACACGAGGCAGGAACGTTTAAAAGTAAAACCCTTTTATTAAGGAGGGTGAACAAAAATAAATCCAGAGGCATGGAGCCCAAAATCCAAAAGCAGGAGAACAAAGCTCAATTAGAGCACAAACTGGGGACTAGACAGGAAGCTCACACAGAGCACCAAAGAACAATGCTGACAAACAACAATGGACCGACAAGAACAATGAGACAAGGAGGGCTTATATAGACAGGGAGGAGCAATTAGGGAAACAGGAAGCAGGTGTGTGGAGTGAGGCTGGAGGGAAGGCAGGTGACAACAATCAGCTGGATGGGGAAGAGAACCAGTGGAGGGCAGATAAACCTAACACTATATAAAACTAAACCTAAAGACTAAGGGAAGGACTCACACAAACACATACACATACTGACACACACAAACTCATACACACATACAATGAACTGGGGAACAAGAGGCTGGGGCTACAACTTAAGACACACAACAGAGATGCAGACAAAGGACACATGAGGGCGCTAAGAGAACGTAAAAAGGAGAACCTGGAGTGGGAACTGGAGGAGCTGGGGACCAAAGGGACACAGAACATGACAGTTTCTAGTGTTGTCGTTAGAAATGTTTGACCTGTCTTATAGCCTGCATCAGCACCTCTGATCAGCCTCTCAGAAACCATCATGCTGTTTTAACTGGGTGTCCAGTTCTCCTAAAGCACTCAAGATAATCCAGCCAATCACAATTTCACCCTGGGATCAGTAAATTAATCTAATCAGATCCATATCCTGATCCAAACTAGCAGCGAGAGTTCTGACCCAGGATCATCCTGAAACCTGCTTATGTTGCTCCAGCCCACTAGATTTGGATTTGGTCCCAGACTCCAGGAATTAGGACCCAGATTTTCAAGTTTGCTGATCTGAAATCAGCTTTGGATTGCTGACTCAGATTCACTCCTTGCAATGAAACAACCCTTAAAGAGGTCCTTCAGTCGTGTTTTTATTACATTTGCAGTGGTTGGAATGAAGGCTTTATCATTAATACTCTGGGGGAAAAGCTCCGGTGTGCCTGTTTCAGCACAGAGAATTCAGCCAGAGGAGAAAGTAGCTTCAGACAGCAGGATTTGGAGGCTTGTTTCCTGATATTTGGACATCTCACCTCTGACTGGCTAGCAGCAATGCAACTCTACCGCTGACTCTATCTGCTCTGCAATGTTAATGATTCATTTCTACAAATTATAATAGCCTGGAGGAGCTTCTGCTGTGTGGTGAGATTAGTGGTTAGCTTCTACTAGCCGAGACATTCTCTGCTGTTTCCTGGATGCTAAACCAACAACAGCCTTCCCTGTTGTGAGTCAAGATGGGTGAGTCCATGAATGTTAAGTGACAGTGTGATGTAGATATGCAGAGTCTGTGCCAACTAATGCAACTGCGTCAGCATCTGTAATTCAACACCAGCCAGTAAAAACTCCAGAGTTGTGGACAGTAGCCAGTAAAAGGAGCGGCCCAGAAGTTATTTCTTGGAAGCCATGGCATCCTTTTATTTTACTCTAACAATGAGTACTAGGGCTGGGTGATACGGCCTAAAATCAATGTCACAATATTTTGAAAATTTCCCCTCAATGATGATAAGTGGACAATAACTACAGGTATGTGCAAAAACAAAAGCTGCCCACTAGATGAGACGATACTCAGTTATATCTATCCATTAACCCTGATGAACCTAATCAGCTTGTCTTGAGGACA